CGGCGCGGGGGAAGCGCGGGGGGCGGCTCGCGCTGCCGCCGGGGCCCCGGGACCGCCTGGGAGCGCCTCCAATGGGCGCAAAATGGAGCCGCTCGAGCCCGCCCCCATCTTCCCGGGGCCGCGGGGACTACAGCTCCCGGCGTGCAGCGCGGCAGCTTCCGGCGCGCCGGCGGCACCCCCGCCGCCACCCCCGCGCGGCGCTGGTAGCGCCCCGTGTTACGGCGCGGGGCGGGGCAGCGGCCGTTGGCGGCGGGGCGGGGCGGGGCAGCGGCCGTTAGTGGCGGCGCCGCCGACGTGGCGCTTCTGTGGCTTCCAGCCTGTGGAAGTAGCGAGGAGCGGGGAGAGCCCCAGGGTCGCGCTGTGACAGGGAGCGAGAGGAGCCGCGGGGCGGCCCCGGCGCCTCCGAGCCTCGCCCCTGACACAGACCTGTCCTAAGGGAGGGAGATGCTAGGAGGGGGCTGCTCTCACCCTAGATGAAATTTATACATTCTTTTTTTTTTTTTTTTAATTCTAATTTCTACCTCCATATARAATGTACAGAAATAGACCAAATGTGAGTCATGCAAAATGAAGCAGTAACAAACGTTTCATGTCATACACATCATATTTTCATGTCAAACTTCGGCATTATTTACAGGTGCCACAATCTTCAYAAACTGAGAACATCAAATAAAACGATTGTAAAAGGTTCCACTATTAATTTAAATATGGACTTTTATTAAACTTTTAGGACAAGCAGAACAATTACCATTAAYAACACACATCTCCCAACGTATCTTAACAATATGAAAACTGTCTAAAAGTGCAAAACGGTCTGCAGCTGGAATTAGAAGAATCAAATTTTGAACTCATAACTAATGCTACAACTCTCAAATTTACATATTAAAATAGAGAATAAGCTTGTAAAAACATACAGTGACTCAAACRCATGTTCTTGATATAGCATTGTAGAAATAGCATTTATTAAACACAAATAATGCATAGGCTATCAAAAATGTCATCAGGAGTGTTTAATACTCCTTCTGTGGCCTGCGCTGTTCATGATGGGAAATTAACTTGGTGGTGGCATCCCTTGGATAGAGAGCAAATTTGCAGTCATCTGTCACATTTTACTTGGGAAAAAATGTTCCAAAAACCTCTAGTGAGGGAATCAGTGCAAGCCATAAAAGGGGAAGCAAACTCAAGGATGAGGGTCACAGCTGTAGGTTAGCTTAGTTTGACTTGAAAGTCATGAAAGTACATGTTTTTTAGAGAGACAAAAGCAGCTGATGAAAACACACCTYAATAAATAATATTTCCATTACCTAAAGTATTACCATATTCTCACAATGTTTTATGCAGCATGTCATGGATGTAACAGTAAGATCCAGGTCTTTAAGTCTTCCACTAGTTCTCTTGCTCATCAGGCGATGCTTTTTTTTCATCAGCATGTTTGAGATCTTGAAAAATTTCTGTGTATCTGAAGTAGCTTAAGATGAGGAAGGCCACAAAAATGCAGATTATGAAGAACGAATATAACGTAACTGAAGATATATCTGATCTGAAATGCAAATGGAATCGGATTAATCTCTTAAATTTGCTATTATCACTACATTCAGCAGTAAATGTTGCAGTAACTCATGGCAATGTAACTGACCAATTATTACCTATTTCTTTTTAAGCTTATGGTCATAATAGGAAAATCTAAATTATTTGCTCTTTTAGTTAAGGGCAAGATTCCTTTGACTGGGAATGAAGAATAAAATGTGACTTTCCTGATGATACTTAAAAGTCCATTTTGTTTTTAAAAAGATTCTTGCTTCCAGATATCTTGTGTACTCAACACAGAAAATAAATGACACAAAAAATAGAATGAAAAGCAGGTGTTATGCAGGTTTGCTCTCAGCCTGCAAGTTGGGATCCGAGTAAAATCTCAATATTTCTGGCCTAGCTGAGCAGGTGTGTAAACAAAGCTAAAACCATTCTCTTTAAGTTTCCAGGTATGACAGATGCAAAATAAGCTTATTCTAGGCTAAGGTAGTGGCTAGCTTAAGTGCTAATGGATAGCTTCCAAGTTTTATTTTCATTTCCATCAGGGCAAATCCTTTATTTTTACTTATTTCCCTTTATTTAAATCCTTGATTTTTAAGTTAACCAGCTTTTCTTTCTGCAAGAACAATATTAGTGAGTGGAAATTAAACCAAGCAGTTGCATGAGAAGTGTCCAGTTTTGTGGATCTTGTAAAAACACTTGCATTAATTACATCATGGAAAATCAAGCTAGGTCTGACACACTGGCAAACTTTCCGTTTGCTTTCAAATAAGGTATTTTGGAAAAACTACATTAACTAAAACTGTGTGGAAGGGTTCTTCTGTCTTTATCTGCAAATCRTGTGCCTAGAAGAACATGATACCTTGTACTTTCCTGTCAGTTTAGGTGTATTTYCATAAAATATTGAATGATAACATAAAAACATAAGGAGAATGTAATATATTAAAAAGTGATTAAATTCAGAAACATCTACTAGCTTTTACCTTTGAATTATACCATAGGTACGGACTGCAAAGAATGCTTTTAAGTCACAAAAACTGAAACAAAAAAAAAGCCTTGTTAGGTATCTTTATATCTCTAAAGACCTGAGAGCAGAAACATAGAATTATATGACACTGTCCCATGCCCAATATCACTGAATATTTATTGAAAAAATGATAAGTAGATTAGAATAATTAACCCCTCATGTTCACAAGTAACACAAAGCGAACTATATTGTCAATTTTTAGTATTGGCAATTACAGTTAATAATTGTGCAGTACAGTTGACTTGTGTGAGCATTCAGGCATGTATGATTTTTACGGGTTCTCTGCTGTAAAAAATGACATTCTACAAGAGTCATTCCAGCAGTATCAGTAAGACTTACGTACGGCTAAAATAGAGCCAATGTGTTTTTGGAAAGTCCAGGCTACAGGGGATAAATTATGGCTTTSAGCCAAGCTAGAAATAACATGAAAACTGTGACCTCTTTACTAAGAGTTTTGTGTACTCGGGGTCTATTGGGCAAACTCCGGTGCGGTAACCAGGCCTCCCCGTTGCCAGTCGGACCTCCGTGACAACGCTTCAGGCAAGCGGATTTGGAGGACGGGGAGAGGAAAAGCCAGAACTCTCACCTAGGACAGCACTTTTTTTTCAGTGTAAGGCTCGCTAAGCAAGCTACCAGCGTATATATCAGTGCTTTCCATTTGTAACTGGTATTTACTGGTCTGTCTACATTCCCCGAATATATGGGATATGGGGTACTATACTGAGTATTATAGGGTTTCATTTATTTTATACATTTCAGAGTGCCTAAAAATGTTGCATATTGAAAGTAGTAAGTTGAAGGAAAGGGAAAACAAATATTCTTGAATAGAAGCTATACTCTCAAAAGCTGTTGTAAAGCATAACAAGAAGTGACATTTTCAAAGATTTTCAGATAGCCTATATTCATTTACAAATAGGATGGTTCTTTTTTTGAAAATATCTCGCTGTCATTAGGTTAYGCCCTCAGCATTTATGCTGTTGATTAGTTTCTAAAATGAAAAAGGCAGAGATTCTGAGAACCACATTAAATCATTTTTAAGTTAGAGCTAGGCAGAAGGAGAAAACACTGGTAACACTAAAGTCAAATGAAATCCTAAGCAAAAATATTTTTGAAATATCACTGGCAGGCATTTTATTCTTTTTTTTTTTTTTTTTACCTTACATTACTCTTTTTTTTTCACATTAACAAAAGAAAATAACCTGTAGTTTGGGTCCACTATCCTCACTCTGAACACATAAATGCCACTATGACTAGGTGACCAAGCAATGGAATTTGTAGAGGTCATGTTTAAAATCTGATACTGCTCATACAGTCCTTCCTCTGTACTGTTCTCATCAAACACAAAACAGGACCTGTAATTCTGAACAGAAACAATAAAGAAAATATTTATTTTTGAACTAATTCTGAAAAGCAATCAGACACACACAGATTTTGATTCTATTTTTGTGTATATAGTGGCTAAAAATGATAAATATATTCKATTGTGTACAGGTTCAATTATATACAAGTTCATCTGAACATTAATAATATAATTCAGTCCCTTGGTAGTGGTATTAAGAAACTGCCTATAATTAACCAAACACAATTATCTGTTCTTGAAATGACAGTATTTCTCCTACAGACATCATGTTATTAGGAAGCTTGCTGATCTTATTTTTATAAGTCAGTCTGTATTCAGTCTATATTATATTCAGTTTCTAAATGTAAATTTACTACAAGGAAAAAGAGACAGAATGTAAAATATAGAGAGAAGTTTGAATATGCTTCGGAATTTATTTCTCAGRTATGTCTCAGAAGATATTTTCATCAGTCTGAAAGGAGCATGAACATGTTTCATAATTATGCTTGAAGCCCAGACAAAAATGCCCATGACAGACAGGACAATACATTAGCTCTGCAGATATTATATAACATATTCTGTCTCTTCCCATCCAGCTTGGCTACAGGGAGGTAAAAAAAAAAATAGATTACATGGTTCATACATTCTCTTTACATTCTTTGAAATTCATAACACTCTGGTGGATTCCTGGCATGGCTTCCAATGGGAATTTGTTCAGTCTAATAGCAAAAAAATAAAACCAGCTTGCTTATGTGTAAGTCATCTCAGGATATACTGTCTCTGTATATGCCTACATTATGCCTACATGTATATGCTCTACATTGTGCCTACATTCACGCTATCAGTATGTAGGTGTTAGTCAGAAAATTGTCCTGTTAATATATATAGATAAGGCACAATAGTATCTAGGATGTAAAGGCTTGCTTCTGCAGAAGAAGAAAGAACTTCAAGGAAAAATGTATGGATGGATTACAATGAGAGAATAGGTTGCTGGCAGGAGAGTCTAGTTTGCTTTGTTCTTTCAAAAATCTACCAGGAAGAGAGTGGGGAAAAGGAGATTAATCTTCAAATAGAATAACTATTAAAATAATTGTGCAAGGCTAAAATCTGGCATGAAATTAGCCATAACAGCTACAAGAGCTCTAACAGAGCTAATAGACCAAAATTCTTCAATTTGGATAGACTTGCTTGGGGGATTGGAGAACATTATCTTCAATGAATAGGAAGCTAAAAGCATTTTCAGCTTGTCTGGGTAGGCAACTTTTTTGGATTCCTTTCTCCTGCTACAAGAATGTTCCTCCCTGGGAAGAGCAAGGTTGTATTAATCCCAGTAGCATCCCCATCCAAGCACCTAGATGAAAATGCAAATGTACTGCAAGTTGGCATAATAATAGTGGAAARTATCTTGGTATTTTGGACTGAGAGACTCAGAAGATCCTGAAGCCAAGTTTGATGAGGTRAAGTTTGACTCTTGAGGCCAGTTAAACCCCTTGATCTTTATCCCGCCTTGCCATGAGAATCTCCTGTGGAAGCAGGGAAGTGGGGGAAATGTTTATATCCCAGCCCTTCCAMCTGTAAGATCAGGAATGTGTCAGGTGGTGACCTAGAAACCAGGCCTCCCCTGGGGCAGACTGGACACATATTATTGATACATAAAGCAAAAAAGATCAATATGGAGGAAGCCTTAAGACTGAAAAATTAATACTGGAACATTTCAGTACTTTCAGTTACCATCTAATAGTCTGGCATGATTGACACTGATAGAGTAGGTGGACTTGGGAAGCATCCGCATGGGAAAGCTGAGAAGTCCTGGCACTAGCACCCTGAGTGCGGGAGCTGGGGCTCTGCGCACAGCAGTGGGCGATGGGCAGGAGGGAGGTGTGAGGAGCGTTCCTGTCGGCACGGAGCAACACGCTGCAGGCACTCAGGCCACAGACCTGCTGCTGCACCTCACTTCCACCTCCCCAGCYGAGAGGAGCTGCACCTGAGATTGCCATTGGGGACTTAAGGGGRAAATAGGAATATCTTCCTTTGCAAATAAATCAAGGTTCTCCATCAATAAAGGCAGTTGCAGTCACAATCTGCAGACATTTGCACTGAGTGAAAACTTGGTTGCTGGCTGTGAAGTCAAGTCACTGGTATCTTGTGTGGAGCTTGAAATGAGGGCTCACAGAAGTGCATGTTCCTTTCTGCTCCGAAGGGGTTAGGAAAATTCTGGCTATATACCATAGTGAAATTCTGTATTCAATAGCTTTTCTGGGCTGTCAATAACTGTCTGGGCACAGAATCCAGACAGAGGGATGCTTTGGTGCCAGTTTGGCCAACACTACTCTTATGAAGTCGTAGTACCAAATCACTAGATGTGATTTGTTTATATTTCTTATTATATTAATATACAAGTATTTTCATATTATGCTTCATATTATGCAGTAACATACAGAAGTAGCATATTTGCCTTCTCATTTCTTTCCAGCAGCTATTGTATTAAATATTTCCACAGGTGTCCTGTTTTGATAAATATAAAGAAAACATATTGGCAAATGGACAGTAGTTTTGCTTTAGGGTTTTATGCTGGATTCATAATATGAAATCCCCTAACAAGAAGATAACAGAAATTTATGAAATGTGAACAGAAAAACCCCGTAAATGCTCTGTGGCACAAAGCCAAGTGTCATAAAGCAGTGCCAGGTAAAAAGAAGAAACTCAGAACAATACTGAATGTCAGTCTCTCTACTGGAGATCCCCAACAGCTGAATCATCATCTAACATCACTCCTAGAGAGACAGATACACACACAAATCTAGATTTATTGCAGCTATTAGCTTCAAAATCTTGGATTGAAGATTGAAAATCCTGCTTCTACAAGGCTGAAGAGGGGATTTCAGGACAAGCCCGTCCACTACTGGCAGTCTTTGCTAAATTACTTGAAATTATACTAGGATCTCTTTAAACAAACCTGTAGTTCAAACCTGAGTGACTTCTCAGAACAACTGCAATAGCCGCAGACATGGCTGGGATGCTGGAGGCAAAATAGCACCTTGGAGCATAACTGACAGAGTCTGCAGGTGCTATCAAGCAAGGTCCTTTTTCAATTCAGATAGAGGGAGGGCAGAAAAGGATTTCAGGTAGATAAATAAATAAATTTGTGCATGCTCTTATCCCAAAGTGCTATGTAACTGATATGAAACTGCTCAGGGATAGTACATAATTGATTGATTTACTTAAGATCCTCACTAGCATTAAGGCTCTGGCCCAAATGAGGCAATTCCTAGTGAGGCAATTAATGAGGCTGCACAAAGAAAAGCTTGTGTCCCGTAGGACCAGATATGTGTAGTGGTCTTAACTGGAAGGCGTTTCTACTTCCACGACTTAGTGATCCACACAGCAGTTGGCCTCAGGAGGCCTGAGGCACCACAGGCCTGTGGTGCACTGTATGCGCTGGGTGAACTTAGTGTGATGAAGAAGCCTGCACAAGACTTGCACTTGGCACTGGGTGATTACACCACCTGCATGTCCCGTCTTGTCTCAAAGTGAAGCAGCATGTTTACCTTCTTCTCTTGACAGTGGAAATAGGAACAGAGTTGTTTACTTCTAAGAAAATCCTGCAGTAGCTCTAAAGGCTGGCAAACCTCGCCGTGGATGGACTCTGTGCAGTTTGTGATGCCCTGTCTAGAGGTCTGTCCAGTGCTGCACAACCTGGGGGTCCCAGCATGTGAAGAGATGTAAGATTATATCATCCCCTTTTTCCTTCTTGTGTTATCTCCAATAAATGTTATTTTAAATAGCTTAATTTATAAGTTATTATAATTTATAATAGCTAGTAAACTCCTTAAGGCCTTTCTTAATGAGGTTCGTAACAAACGCACTGTTACATCCTTTCCATATCTTCAGTCATAATAACTCCTAAGTGACAGTGGGTTTTGCCAGATTAGATGGGATAGATCCCAAAGAACAGGACTAACTGGCATTGACAACTTTGAAGTTGAAGTCTGATGAAAGTTGTCCATTAAAGATTAAGATATCTCCCAAAGGAGGTCCAAAGGACTATCCAATGACAATGCCCGCTTCTTACAGTCCTCTTGTGCCTACTGGGTGACACAAGATCTGCCAATACAGGAGGAAGTTCTCTTGAAAAGACAGATGAGAAAGTCATAGGGATAGAGAAGTTAGAAAAGAAGGTTCCCTCTCTTCAGACTTCACATTTAGACTTCACGTAATGCTGAAATTTTGGTTGTACAGGAAAAGGCAAAGGACCCGCTTTATATATATTAATAGCAGTCTGGTTAGTGAGATGTAGATGGCTGATAGCCAGCAAAGTAAAAATATGTAAGATAACTGTAGATTTCACTGATACTATCACCAGCTATTTCTAAGCATTTATTTTCATACCTGTGGTCCCCATATTTCATCCAGTGTAGAGTTCTTACTTGCATTAAGCATCATGGGCCAAGACTGTGCTTTATGTAAGCAACCTTCCTGTTAAAAATAGAAATTTAAAACAGAAGATTGAAATATAGATTAAAAAGTGTACTTGAAATGCAATTGAAATATGCAAATGCAATTGAAATATGCAAATGAAATATGATACACGGGAATATATAGATAGGAAAGAAAGTTATATTGTTGTTTCAGTTATCTAGCAATTGGGCAGAATTTGTTTTGATGAGATCTTGTGGATAAGTGGGTGTATATTTTTTCTTTTTGCACACAACATAGCTCAACATTTCAAAGTGATTCTGAAGTTTCATTTTCCCAAGCCACATTCTCACAGGGAGATTTCTTTTTCTTCTCTTTGTTCACTGTATTGTTTTGATGCTTCTCACATGATTAATTTTGAATAGTATGTGTTAAGACCAATACATGAAATGTTAAAATGCTATGCAACTAAACGCATCCATTTAAAAAGGACCAGGCATGCATAAGGGCAGTCATACTTCCTGCAGACCACTGTGCATATGACATATTTAAGGTACGTTCTCAGTAGCTGGCTTACTTCTTTCATGGATGAAGTGTACCCATAGTCACTTCTGCCTTTCATTTCCCATAATATGAAATTTGCTTCAACCCTTCTAACATATTTATCGCCATCATACCTGTAAAACATATGGTATTTCTCAATAAAACAACACAAGCACATAAACAGCACTGAAACATTAGGATTCAGGGCTATGCAGTGGATCAGTAAGCAAGTGTGTAGAGCTGCTGCAGCTGTGGTGAGGGGGCAGAAAATGTAGGCTGCTTTATGGTGACTTGGGATTACAAGGTTGGCACAGTGCAGCAATACCCACTGGGACGAATGCATGCGTGAAAAGGAACGTAAAAATGTGATGAGTGTTAGTTCTTGCCTTTGGGCTGTGGCACTTTCTACAGCTTCACATCTCTACACAAAGTTTGTGGAAGGAGTGGTCTTCCTGCCTCACAATGTATCAGCAACTTACTTACAGGGAAATAACTGGCTGGAAATACTGTTCATAATGAAGTTCCATTAGGCAACCATATTTATCCCAGTCATAATAGGCTATCTAAAAAAGGAGAAGTATTATTCATATTTTGAATGCTGAACTCTGCTTCTCTCTTCTTACATGTAGCCCCACTCGAATGAAAACTATAATTCTCACCTTGTCTTCAACTGTTTGACGCCAGAGAAATTTCCTAATGTAAGGAAAAAATAATCATTTTTAAACCTCTCTTAAAAAACTTGTCTTGATAAAAATTTCATTTGTTTAGATAGATTTCAACCTAACCATTTTCCTCTTGACTTGAAAAAAAAGGCATTCCTTCTACTATAGAGTTTTACACCCTTCCTATGTTATTAATTTTAAAAGTCAACTCATAAGTAACACTAAAATGTTTGTAGCCATTTACTACTAATAAGCATTAATCAGAACCAGTAAGAATTTAGAGGCCAGCACTACATCCCCGGGTTCCTTTCACTGTTAATTTAACAGCACATTGGATGAAATCCTGACCTACAGCAAATCTCCGTTAACCTGTTGGAATCAGGTGCAGATTCTTGTAGTTATTTTAGACAGTAATCTGATAGAAAAAAAATACATGTCAATAGTTTCTGCATTCACACCATCTTGGCAGAGAATTCTTAGAATAGTAGCTTGCTTTTGGTTTTGGTTTGTAAATATTGTGCATCTATGCTGTAACAGAAAATAAGAAGATGATATGAATATCAGTATCAGAAAATACTCATTTTATATTAAGTAGTGTATATTAATATAAAGTGCTTGACTTTCATATGACAGTACGTCCAGAAGGCTAGCCTTTTTTGGACCATGAATACAGTGTCTTACCCAGGTATTCTGTAAGTGGTAAAATCATGCCTTCGACAGGCTACTTCTGGGGGTCTAAAAGACAAAAAAAAGTGGGTTTTTTTTTTGAAAAGATGTTAAGTATACAGCTATGTATATTATATACAGCTGTACACAGTTTAAAATCTTTGCATATATTTTCAAGGATAAACCTTTAATTATTGTTTACATATTTATGCAGAGAAACATTTTATAAATGTAATAGGTCATATATATAAAACTTAACTATCACTACATTAGCATTTATTTCACCTACTATTGTAAAAAATCCAGAAAAAGTAAATAATTTAAACTTGCCTCTCAACAACAATATGCCTTCCTGGAGGGCATCCAACAAAAAAGTGAGCCACCTGAAAATAAATACAAACTTTAGTTTTTCCAGGAAACCTTCCAGAGATGAATGTCATCCATGGGCTTAACTASAGCAGCAGTTGTGCATTATGGTTTATTACGATGACTTCTTTCTTGCCCACATTCTTATTTACTTTAGAGACTTTCTCATCAGTATGGTACTGCAAACTTTGTCTTCTCTGCCTTTCTGCTTAAGCTCTCCTTACATAATTTTACATGACATTAGTTAATTGGAATGAGAGGAACCGGAATGAAATCTTGGCATTCRACCTTGGGCTGCCAGTGGTCAGGATTTCCTTATAATAAATGGCGAAGCGGTGGTCCTGTGTTTTTTTTTCTGAATTATGATATCAAGCTACAGCACCTACCTTGCAGTTTAATTTGCATGATGCTTCAAAGACACTAGGCTGCATTTCAACTGACATTACACCACTGGTTAACTCCCTGCRAAAGAAATATCCCCAGCAAACAAGGATTTGCATTAGAATTTATATCAAAGTAATTAGTACCACCAAGTGATTGAACTGTAACCATATGAAGGCAATTTAATTGGGAGGCAAGACACACTGGTTACTATTATTTATTCCTACTTCTTATTTTACTAGTACATCATTTAAATACCAGGTGACGGTACAAATATTGTTGTGGTTTCACAGGTAGATGTTTGAGAGAATTTGTCCTAGCAGTCTGCATTTTTTTTTAATGCTTATTGATTTCTGAGGGCTACATTTGATATTATTATGTCTTTTGGTTACTTTATGAATAATACAGCACGTATCTAAGGACAGGCTACACTTTTTAATATCAGCTTCATAATTACCTTTGAAATACTGAAATAAATATTGCTTTGGAAGGATGGATTAATGCTTGCTTTAAAATGGGTCTTTAATCCGTAGACAAACAGAGATGAAATTAAAGCAAGAGAATGCAGGCAGCTTTGAAAATGTGAGCAGCTGAAATAGTATTTTTTTTACTGTGTTGTCAGACAAGCCATGTTGAGGAATGAGGGAAGGTCAGGTTTGGAGGGGAGGTGACCTCTGTTGTGGGAGATTTGGAGCTATTATCACACCGATTTAACTGGTTTAGTATATCCTGGAACAAGGCAGAGGGGAGTGAGCAGAATTACCTATCCTATCTGATCTCACCTTTTACAAACCTGGTTTGTGCTGAGGTGAGATAAACCGCTTAAGACAGCCTAGTGTGGCACTGAATCCAAAATCTATCACACAGAGACTGTTGATTCAGGCAGTCTCACAACAAAATACTCAACTGGCTTTTTCTATTGGAGCTTTTCATAGAGAGATCAATATCAAAATATGTTCAATCATTCAGTAATGTGTCAATTAACTTACTAATCTTTTGTGCATCTTTGTACAAAGAGCTTTTGGCGTATGTATGCAGCTCTTCTTATATGTCTTTATGAAATATAAGGTGGAGAGTCTAGTAAGGCTGTACATCGCTACTTGTGGTTAGGCTTACCACATGAGAAAAAAAGATCTTCTAGCCATCAGGAGGTTATCAATTTGCACTYGTGTGTGAAAGACAACAGCCTCTTGCTTGTCAAAGAGACATCTATGTTTCTGAGCAAGCTGGTTAATAGTCTGATAGAAAGTCTGAACTGTCCCCTGAGTTAACTGAGGATCAGTAGCTCTTTTAGAGCTGGGAAAATTTGAATAAAGCTTTATGCAAATCCAGAAAAAAAAAAAAAAGTGAAGATAAGAGGATTTGGATTGATCTCCAACTCAAGATATTCTTCGGGGATGTAGATTTGTTCAACAGCCGAGTGCTCACCCAGGAAAGTATGAATTCTGAAAAGGTTGTCAGCTGGAAAATAAAGAGTGTAAAGAAATGTTGGAATGTACCAGAAGTACATAATACTAAAGTATTATGTAAAATGTGCCTAGTTTTCTGACAGGAGGACCTTTATGAAACCTTGTAAATGGATTATCTATTTTACATTTTAGAAATACTTTCATTTGCTTTTCCTAATCTGACTCATGTCCACTTGAATGCAAGAGAGTTGCATGGCCCTTCTTGAAGTATTACTGCTAGAAGCACTATTCTCCCATTAACAGCTATACTATTTCATTTAGGTATATATTTTGCGGCAGTTCTGTAGTCCTGATGACACTTATAACTCATACTGACCAAAACTACTTTATCAGCTTTATCTTACCTTTAAATTTCATTATACTTACAATGCCTTTGTATAATTGGATTCTAAAGTATAGTCATTGTAATGATAAAATGTAAATGTCTAGAAGAGATAGAAAAAAGAACAAAATKAATTAATAAAAATCTTAAAACCACAGGGATACTTCTATTGAGATAAAGGGTATCTTCATGATCTCTGAAGCATCTGAAAAAATGTCTAATTTCACTTCTGTGGCTAATTTTTATGTGTCCACCACAATATTTGTATTGAGACGTTCTATCATCCCAGGTCTGTACTACTAGAAATAAATTATTGGAATTTTGGAAATAAATCTGTCTCAAGGAACATACAAAGGTACATTGTGGTATTGAGATAGAGCTGAAAACACTCTATGCATTGCTCATCAGCAGTGCAGAAGCAATGCTGCACCTAGGAGGAAGTTGAGGAACACACCATGTGGAGAGCAAGCAGCAACAGCTGATTGTGCTTCTAGACTCCTCTCATAGGATCCTCTTCCTCTCCACCACCACCCTCTGATATTCTCGAGCTCTTTGAGACCAGTCCTGTCTTTAGCCTTGCCAGAACAAGCCTGTATAGGTCACTGTTTTTATGCCAGGCCTTAATTTCAGCCTTATTGAAAGAAATGCCTGGAAAACTGTGAGCCTATAGAGAGTGATGAAATGATCTGAGCTTTTACAAAGTAGAAGCTGCATCACAACATGGTATGATTTTCGTATAGACATCTAAATTAGCAGGTTGGTACAGCACAAGAGAGACACTTTCAGTATCCATAGATATCCATACATGCAAGTCTTGACACCCTTGAAACACAGCAGTAGTAGAATGGAAGCAGGCGGATGGACAAGAAGAAATGCTAACACACAYTTAAAATGCCTAAATCAGGTCAGACGGTTTCCACTTTATGTGACTGATTGTTATGGTTAAAAAATTTACATTCTTCATGTTGCAGAATTCTGTAGCTGATTTCCAAATTTATAATGAGGACCTGGGATAATATAACATAGTTAATGTGCTATTTTAATCCATACTTAGAAGTATTGGTTTCTCTTAGTCAATTCTAATCCAGAAAATACATATAAATAATAATTATATTGGGAGAAAATTAATCTACATGAATCTGTGTAAGTCTTAATAGTAGTGAATGCATGTGGAAAAAAGGCTTTCTCCACTTCTTCAGCGTACACAGGACTCCCTCAAATACCACACTGATACCGCAAAACATGAAAATGTATGACAAAATATAGCAGAAATAAACTTAAATGGGACATAAAGAAACTTGAGCAAAGCATACCTCATTTTTAGTGCAGACTCTACGAGCAATTTCATATTTGCTGCTTCCTCTTAGTAGTAATAACTCTGGTCTGTAGACTTCCAGATATGTACCTATATCCACATTTTCCTCAAAAACTATCTGAGACCAAAATGTCAGTTCGTCTCCCATATCCAGATAGTAAATACTGAAATGCATGTTGTGAAGAAAAGCTATAATTGAGCAAGAAAATTCAGACATTAATGTAGAACTAAATATTTCAAGCTCCAAAGGATAGGTCTGGCGATATATRTTTGAACCATCAATTAATAATGTGTATACACTAGCAGATGGATTCAGATAAAGGACCATCTTTTTCGTTTCATCTATCCAGTCAGGAAGCTGAACTAATCCTCTCAGTTCACTTTTTGTGTAAAATAAATAGTTGTTTTTCATTTTTATCATTACATTCCCGAGGTAGTCTGTAAAAAGCAAAACAGAAAGAATGCACTTTAATTTGTGTAATTCAAATATACAAAGTATTATGACTATACTTATTTAGATCCCCTTTTCCTTACAACTGGCATCTTTCTCATGTGATATCTTCATGTACATTCAAAGTTAGTGAGAAACCTTTTGACAAGCAATCCCCGGTGGCTGGTGGATATAATTTTTGTCCTCTTGATGAACAAGTATTTTGAAGAATGATTCTAGAATTACTTGAATTATGTAATTTGCATTTAGTGATTTCAATCTAGTGATTCTAGCAGTGTTCGCACRTATGATCTCACATGAGGGAGATACTGGTGTCTTTAATAAAACAGTGACTGAGCATTTGACTGACTTTGTCAAATGACCAATTGCTACAAATACTTTCCATACTGCACAGTTTTGTGTAATAATGCAGCATCATGTGGTAATTGAACAGATTTCAAATACAGGAACGTTTCTGAGAAAGTAAAGTTATTTAGCATTGGAATTTTTCAGGTATACTACCCYGAGGGACGTTGCCACTACAGATGCACGTGCTGTTAGTACCTGAAGCCATATAATTTGAGCACTGTTCATGAATGCCTCATCTCTTTCCACGCAAGGACATAAAGGAGAAACCATACCATATGTCCTGTAGTTCCTGTGAGCCCATAATTCTAGATGTAAACAGTTCAATGAAGTCCTCGTCAAGAATTAGAAGATGAATAGGCAACAGGCATACACATCTCGAAGAAGTTGAGTAGTGGTAAGTAGCCCTGTGACTTTTCTTTGAGTGACAGTAATAACAAAATCACCATACTAATGGTGACTACAAGAAGTATCCCCTTTGCACCCAGAGATGAAAGGGAGTTAGCATATGTTAAGAAGAAGAACTATCCCAGGAATATACTAAGAAATATGGTATCATTTACTGATGCTTTTACGATTGCATTGTAAAAGGAGCTACATGGGACTGTTTGCAGATGTTTGGGAGAGACATTCTTCAGCTCTGATTTGTGTGCCTTAACCTTTGAAGACACTTTCACTCAAAGAGCCCTGGAAAGGGGTTTGATTCAGCTGAATAGACTTTGTAAGGAGACTGATGTGTTTTTTGAGTCCAAGAGTGAAAAAGAAGCTTGCCTAAGTAATTTCTTCCTATTTAGACGAAGGCATGCTTGCTGTTCAGTTTAGCCCTGAAACAACAGAGGCTAGAAAAGAGAATAGACTGCATAATTCCCAAATGAAATGAAATTCAGGTATGATGTTAGAAATTGGAATGAATTCCAAAGGGCACTCCACATGGAAAAGGAATAAAAACACCTAGGTATTTTTTACATTTACAGAAAAATGACATCTTCATGTTGAGGTGAATAAGCAAGCCAAATCATCATAAACTCAAGCAGAGGGTTTACCAAACCTGTAAGTGCAGACAGTGTAAGCAAAGGTAAGTAGAGTAAATGTAGATCATGCTGGAGAGGAGGTTCTTTGACAGAAAAATCTTAACTAGATTGTGAGTGCACCTCAGAGCAGCAAGTCGAGTTAACCTTCTCTGGCTCTAGTATTGAAGACTGCTCTAGTCAGAGGCAAGGAAAGTTGCAGTGGCCATGAGGCAGAAACTCTCGACAAAGAATGCGTGAAACTTCATTAACGGGGTTCCCTCTCAAGCTCCTCCTTCCTGAGCCAGTAGGGAGACAATACTCACGTATCATCTTTTGTAGGCCTCCATAAGCCTGATTACACTTACAGATCTAGGCACTTTCTTTTCAAAGGATCATTAAGAATTGTTTCAGTACTGGCCTCCTCTCAGGGCACCGTCAACAGACTCGGCTCCTCTTTAGACAACATGAGGTTATCTTAGCAGAAATATTAGCACATCCTCTTCAGAAGTCTTCTTGCCAGTGCTGTTGGCCTGCCACGTGCACTGTGCTGCAGTTGGCTGGTAATTTTGCCATAATTTGCCTAACTTTTTCCTGTTCTTCTTAAGTATTTTGTCATCTGTTGCCATATTTGCATTGAGGAGCTTAGCTCTCAAACCATCACTGCATGACATGGTTAGGATGTGTCTTCTATATCACATGAGATTCATAAGGAAGTAGGATTCTGAGTATCTCATGAGTTGGCTGGCTTCATCTTGCAAGCTAGTCTTAGCAAATATTCACCATGTTTTTTTAGTGGTAGCTACTTTTTTTTTTGCTTGAGAGACCTTTCCTGTACGAAATGACATTCTCAAAGGGTTTTGATTGGAACAATAACTCACAGCACAAGGATGAGATCTTCCAAGTTTCAGGAATAATTTTGTAGGAAATGATGGTGGTAGTATCCAGCATTGACCCACTGAACTCTAAATTTTGAAGAGATGTATTCAGATTGGACTTTTGTGCACTCACCTTGTGACTCAAGTAATTAGACATACCATTGTCTGTATGACAGTGAATGGCACCTGAGTAGTTGAATTCTTTTTTAATTGCCTACTAAAGATGAACAGCTATCATGGGAAGAGACTTGATGAAGTTTCTTGAGGATGGAGCAACAAATGACAAGACTATCACAATGTCAATATGATGTTGTGATCATAATGTGAAAGGAATGGCTTAAAAAGTCAGAAAGCTGCAGAACAATCTCTTCGATGTAGTGAAATATTCTTCTGCTGCCATGTTGTTTTAGTTGCCTTCTCCAAAGTAACAGCAGAGGTTTAGTAATTCCAAAGAGGTTTAGTATTCCAAAGTAATAGATTTTAGTCTTAATAGGCCAATGAAATTAATAACTATTATTCTATTATTATTCTTTACAAAAAGACAGACTCAGTAACATTCTTAAAATGTGTAACTTACTTTAGCATTGAGTGAATTAAAAATTACTTAATAACTACTTAAAATACAATATACTTAACCAGGAATAATCTGGTGAATAGTACTCCCATTAGACATTTCTGAAAGAGACAGATTTGATCCATATATTTGAAAAAATCCATTAGTTGTATTGTTTCTGTAGGTGTAGTAAATGCTTTCATTGTTCCACAGCACACCACATGATAATGCTGAGTTTAAATATACCATCTTCGTAACAGAATTCTCAGTAACAGGTAAATGAAACTCTCTCAAGCCCCAAAACTGTCTGTCTTCACTATAAAATGCCAGATAAAAGAGTTTGGAGGAACTGCAGCCATTGCAGATCAGCAACAGTGTGATTTCAGATGGGATTGAGTCATAGCTAACTATCTCTATAGATAAAACAGCATCTTTTGGAAAATGTAAGATCTTCACTAAGTTTGTTGTATCTGTCATTTTATGAAATATTTCACCATACAGAAGATATATCTCATTAGATGTCCAGGCTCCCAAAGTACTTAGTTGACTTCCATTCTGTTAAAACAAAATAAAACCACAGTGATCAGGTAAATGATATCTTCCTTTAAAATTTACATCAGAGATGTACATTAGGAAATCAAAATACTGCGGGATATATTTTCAGCTAATGTCATCAGCAGAGTTCCATCAGAATGAATATACAAATTTAAGTAATGATCCAAGAAATGGCTCCACATGGCTAAATGAGCTCATGTGGAACCACTCATCGTATCCCAATCTTATTTTAAAACATCCTGAAAGAAAACTTATTGCTGTCTGGTCATTTCTAATTCCAAACCCATCAATACATCAATGAAAAGGAGATCTGAAATAGATTCATCAATACATTTAGTAAAGAACAGCTATATTTTAAATGTTAAAAGAGAACTGAAGATAACTTACCCGCACTGGATAGACTAATGGACACCAGTATCTTGAGCATATTCCACTTATTTTCTTTTCAGGAAGCTTATGTTCTGCCCCAAGTTTAAAAAAATGATTAGATTCTCTTTTATAAATAGATCCATTTATTAAAAATAAGATTCCATTATCTGTTAGAGCCACATCAGTTACATTGTTATTTAGGCCTTGGGTCAAAGCATCTGAAGGAACTTTGATTTCATCATAAGTTTTGAATCCATCACTTGTATAGAAAGTTCCAAAGTCTGTTAATAAAACAGCTGTTGTTGGGAAACATGCAGACCATGTAATGGTCATGTCACTGTTTTTGGGGGCACAGAGTGAGGTATCATTTTTCTTGCTAGGAAATGATTGTTTAGGCCTTGGAATTATAAAGGGAGTATCTAGAACAAAGCATTCTTGAAATGCTATTGCCTTCCCATGTATAGTTATTATGATGTCTTCTGATTCTGCAGGTACATCGACAGTCCATAATCTGAAAATGGAAGAAGTAATAGTTAAACTTGCAAGATGAAACCTTACAGTTGAGGACACTGAAACAAATTCAGCCATGTGGTTAGATTCAGGTCACACGCTTAGAAGGACTGCATTTTCAGATGAAATCCAAAATTGGCTATTTGGGGAATGGAGTTTTTCTCAGAATAGAGAGGCTGCATATCCACAAAAGCTCTCTCTTCCAGTTACAGTGGTGCAAAAGTACTTCCTAACTTTCTTCTAATTCCACAACAGAAAGGATGAACAAGGAGAAAAAGACCAGAATTTACCTGTACTTAGATTTTATCTTCTAAATTTACAAAAACAATCCATATTTCAGTGTTGTCTGGAAACTGTACATTTCTGAAAGATGCAAGTGAGAAAGGCAAGAATATCTGGACTTAGAAATGAATGGCTATAATGCYGTAACTCTGTGGAATAATACAAAATTCACTATTGCTGAGGGAACCTTCCCTACAACCTCTTTTGAGCAACTTGGAGCATATAGAAAGTTCATCAACAAGAACACCAGGCCTGCGCATGTTGCAGATGGTGATTAGGGGCACTGATAATCAGCAAGAGTTTTGATGATAAGCAATGTGACAAAAAACAGGGCTTAAAAGAAATAACCTGTTTGTAGAACTATGCTCTTTATAAATCATGCAGACGGGCAAACTTGATACAAGAAAGACATGAATTCTGAGAATTTCTAAGCCTTTCTGAAGATCACCTGCTTTAGTATCAAATATAAATTACATCTCATCACCTTTAATGGGAAATGGATTAAATCATCTCAACAGAAAAAAAAAAATCTTAATTTCTTGTAGAGCAAGTGTGAATGTATGCATCACACTGACAGTTTCACAAGCATCCCTGATGGAAAAGTGCATGCACTGACAGCAGAAAATTTAAGCAGACTCCTTGGTAAACAACTAGTTTACAGAATTAGATAAAAGAAAAAAGTAATATAAATCTATATCCTTACACTTACATGTTTCACTTTTTCATGGTCAGTGTATTCCATGGAATTGCAATGAGTTCTATTAATCCATTTATAAATGGCATACAGGCACCAGCAATCTGTGTGGTTCTCCCAGTGATGACTATGTAGTTTACTTGCCTCTGCGTTATTGTCTCTTTATTAGGATGTACAATATTTTCTCTTTATTAGGATATACAATTACATGAACATATTTCTAATAGGTCCAGTACATGAAGTCTAGAAGGAATTTGAAATTCAGAGGGTTCTTGCAAAATACTTCACAGTGACTGACATTCCCAGGAATCACAGAATATTCAAGGTTGGAAGGATCTRGTTGGTTGGATCATCTAGTCCAACCTTCCTGCTCAAGCAGGCACACCTAGAGCAYGKGGCACAGGGCGGCATCCAGGTGGGTTTTGAAGACCTCCAGAGAAGGAGACTCCACAACCTCCCTGGGCAGCCTGTTCCACTGATCTGTCACCCTAACAGGAAAGAAGTTCTTCCTCACATGGAGATGGAACCGCCCGTGTTTCAKCTTATGGCCATTACCCCTTGTCCTATCACTGGCCACCAATGAGAAGAGCTTGACACCTTCCTCCCTACATTCTCCCTTCCTGAACTTATACATRTTAATCAGATCCCCTCTCAACCTTCTCTTCTCCAAGCTGAACGGGCCCAACTCGCTCAATCTCTCCTCATACGAGAGATGCTCCAGTCCCTTAATCATCTTAGTTGCTCTCTGCTGGACCCTCTCTAGGATCTCCACGTCCCTCTTGTCCTGGGGAGCCCAAGGAAGTAGAGGACAATGTAAGCTAATCAAGACAGAGAAATGATTTTTGTTGTTTTGCAATTAGTAGCAACTGCACAGCATTCCAAAATTAATTCTCTAATTTCAGATGGAATAATAAAGCGATTTGATGAAATACAAGGGATTATAATGGATCTGATGAGGTGCCAAAAGCAAATCCACTCCGAAGAAGATGACAAAACAGCCAGGTGTATGTATGAGAAAATTCAAATTAATAAATAGATTCTTCTCTATTTGAAGAAAAAGGACTGTTAATTTATGAGGCAGATTTTACTTTCCCTTACTTGATTAATCTGTACTTCAGTTGCTAAAAAATGAGATGATTGCTAATGAGATTAAAAAAAAAAGTAGTTGTGCCAGCACTCACATCACTGTGATACAATTTGCTGGCACCGCCAGAATGCAGAATGTATATATTCACTTTTCTTGGGGAGGGCCTGGAGATTATTCTAGCTCTGTTGAAAAAAAAAATGAGAGAAAAAGCTCTTGTCTGAAGCCAGTAACTTTTGATTAAAGGTGTTGCTATGTTGCCATCTAGTGATCAAAGAGAAATATACAACTTATGGGGTGCAAACCGAAGCAGCTATGGTTCATGTTAAACGTAATAATTGTTTCTTGCACAAGCACAAATAGCACGAATTACAGGCTAGCAGTGAACTTAGAACAGAAAGAAAAGTCACAAAATAGCAGGATAACTTGTTTTAATTGGGTATTCAGAGAATGTGTAAAGGGCAAGTATTGAAGAGACAGATGGTAAATATGTTACAAGAAATCTACACAGTAAGAACTCATAAAATATAAACCAGGGTCATTCTCAGTATCTCTGTGCCAAAATTTAGCTCTGGTGTATTTGAACTAGCTTCACAAAATGCTAATGCAGCACAATTTTTTATTCTTAGATTTACAAAACCCGTGAAAATTTGTTTGCTACATATGCTTCCTCATATGCACATCACTTTTTAACCACTAAAACTGTTTTCTGATCAACTCACAATCAAATAAGAATTGTGAATTTATGCCCCACTGGCTTGTTGTGTTCTAACTTTCATTGCAAAGCACTGTGTGTAGCAAATATTCTTAGAAAGGAAAGGAAGTATTGCCATAAAATGTAGCGAYAGAAGTACAAAAACAGACAGTCGGAGTCTCATTAGAACTAATGCTTGTTGTATATATAAGCAAAATACTAGAAAAATTATTGCATAAGTGTTTCTCTATGGGCTTCATCACTATAGAAAGGTCACTATAAAAAGGTTAGGAACTGAAATAGGATGGCACTGTCCCAAAAAGTCCTTCAACTGTTGGGTCTGGGTGCCTATAATTGCCTTATATATGATTGCCTTTTGTGACTTTTCAGACCCCCAAAACCTTAACGTAAAGCATTATTGATTAGAAAATGAACATAGATGATCACGAAGAAAAAAAATATCATTCATGCTTTGATATCCTGTATTATAGCTTTAAGAAATGGGCCTATGAATGTCACTCAAGGCTGGTGCTGTAGTACAAGGAGGCACTGAGGTTTCCTACTCTTTCTCTTCCTACTTCCTTGCTTTTCGATTTCTCTTGCAGAACACAAAGTCCCCCAGTCAAAGCATGACTGAGAATAAACAAGCATTAAAAGGAGGATTAATACATTGGATATATTTTTATCACATAGATTTAGAACTGTAGTTCCACTAACATTGCTCCACTATCACTCAGAGCTGTACTTTTAGCTAATTATTTTTGGAAGGCTGACAGAAAAGGACAAACCCTTYACCGACAAGGTGAGAGAAAACATCTAGTATGTGGTGTTTCACACAATGAATGAACTCAATCCTGAGTCAGCTGGCAGAGATCCTGGAAACAGTTTATCTGAATCTGATAGTTCACCTGAGTGATCTTACTTCCCTTTTGAAATTGTGTGGAATATCTTTGCATAACGGGGAAAAAAAATCCCAACTCCACTAAGAAGTGAAGGCATTTGAAGTAATCTCATGCTGTATATGTTCTAAAAGGACATGTGCATCTCCTCGTGCTTTCTAAGTCAGATATTTAAAAGTTGCCCTGAATTTGGAAGTTGTTTCTGATTTGTTTTCAACCCACAGAAATGCTGTGTAACCATAAAAACAGAAAAGAATACATCTTGCAGAGGTCCAGCTTTTCCCTAGCGTGCTTGAAATGCACAGAAATGATTCCACCAATTTGAAGACTTAGAAGCAACTGTCTTTCTGCAATTATCCTACCTCTTCCATGCTGCAAAACTGTTAGGAAGAAACTTTGAAGATCTTTGTGCACTACATCCTTCTTTCTTTAAATTGTCATTGTGTCCATGTTATATAACCCTTACTTATCGCTAAATTAATAGCTATCCTAATGCCTTTCAAACATTGCTCAGTAAATTGTAATTAAAAAAACAGACATGAAAAATGATCCAACTATTTTATTAAGTGCTATTTCTACATCTACTTACCAATAATTGTCTGTATAGTCATGACTGTAAAATATTTTTAAATAGAATTATGTTAAAATAAATAAAGTTACTGTACCCTATGCGTGGATGCTGCTGAGAATAGTATTTGTCCTTTTTCAAATGGGTATGAACAACAGGCTCCTGTCCCAAATTCCAGAACAATTTGCTGAGTTTCTGAGAACTCTGTTCACATAAAATACAAATTATTATTTACATATTTTACATATTTACTTTTACATATTTACATATTTTTCACTCAACTGGTTGCTCTCTGGTCATTTCTAATTCCGGCACTGGATCAATGAAGAGTAGATCTAAAATAGATTCAGCTATTACTGAGAACCTCTTTCTAAGATTAGATTTGTGTCAGATTTCTGACATTAGAATGAAATTTAATATTACAAAGTACATTTTCAAGCAATGACATGCCATTAGAATCATTTTTATGCAATCTATTCATTTTAGAATATACTACATTCAGAGTCAAATTCAATTTTCCTTACATTCTTTCCATACCAACAGACAGAAAACAAAAACACTTGCCTAACATTTAATAAGCTAATAAAAATGCCTTAGTAATACAGTTGATATTGCTACTTTATTTTCTTCTTAATCATGTCAAATATTATAAAACAGAAAAAAATACTAAAAGATATAATAATGACATAAAAGAAAGTCATTTCTATAATAAATAGTGGTGCCGTGCATGCATGCCTTATGTCAGACACCATACCAAAGACTAAGTTCTTTCTGTCATTTATCTAGATTATAAACACACTCCTGACAAAATCCATTGTGTATGTTAATCCCTACAACTATCTATAATTCCATGAATAGTCCACCTTCATTCCCAAATTCTAGATGTACAGAAGAGTTTGTACAGTAGCTTGTTACATTTTTTAATTCTTAATTAAATCAGTGCTTTATCATCCCTGTTTACACAGCCCCTTATATCAGGACTTCCCATTGATATGGTCCCATGTATCAGGACTTCCACATTTTTCTTCTAACAATTTGCTTTGCCTGAGGAAATTCATTAAAAAAAAAGTCTTCAGTTGTCACCTATTATTGCCAATTCTAATTTTGAATATAATTTTTGCAAAGACCAAAATTTGACTGAATTACTCCAGCTTGCTAATCATTCTATATCCATGAAGCAGACAATAGATTTCTCCTCACTCTTTATACCTGTGTTATTGCTGCAATATTAACAGGGGAGAAAATCCTGCAAATTTATTTTCCTCAGTAAAATGAAATAAGTAAATACATGTTCAAGCAGTACATTTCAATAGGACATTTCCACTTCTAATCGGCAAATTTTCATGAGAGTTTCATTTTATTTTGTTTTTCTTAAGTGGCACCATTTCAACTTACTTGTGAAGGTCTAATTGCTGTGCGGTTCAGTTCAGAAGCATCAGCAGTTTCAGGATCATATACCCATACAATTAACTCCTAATGAGTAAAAAAAAAAGAAAAAATAAATATAAAGAAGAGAGAGATGCAAGCCACCACTTTACTAACAAATATTAATGTTCTATAACCATGATAACATTTCTTCTTCTGACAACACATATGATAATGTAATAATTATGTTCACTTACGCAATGTCTATGCTGTGAACTTTTATGTTGGAAACAAAAAGATTTTTTAAGCTTTGCTTCCTGTTGTTAGCAACATGCAACAAAAACTTGAGGGAAGCAGCATCTCCTTTCTCAGAAATAAAGAGGAAATGAGTAAGAGCTCATGCAAAAGTGTTTTTTCCCCTCCCTGCTCTAATGCTTTCTCTCTTCCCTGAGAAGGCTTTCTTCAGTGCCTCTCCATCCTCATGGGCAAGGTAGTTACATACAGTGGGTGTTACCACAGGGTGAAGGATATAGAAGATTACTCCCTGTTAAAAACGCAATCCGATCTTGTTTCTTGCTCAGGGAGTGTTAGAAAGTGTTCAGTAAAACGTGCATCATGTATGTATGCTACCATACTGCCAACCACCTGTCTATAATATTCTTTCAGTCAGGAAATGCAAATACATGGCATTTCCATCTCGGTACACACAAAGAGAATCATCATCCTGTGAGCACGTTCACCACATTTACCACAAAGGTCTAGCATCACAAAGCAGCTCACATGCTGAAAGTTCACATCATGTGGTTTCTTACTCATCTACTCAAAGCAAAATGCTAAATCTTGCATGCTGTCCTAAAAATGGAGTAAGCTAAATAATCATATAGCTGCCCTCTCTGAGGTAGCCAAGTAGAAGAGCTTTCATGGGGAGAATACAAGTTTGCTTCCACTTTCAGCAGGCTACATCCTATACAGACAGTAGCTTCCTGACTACAATTTGTAAATAATGACCCATTATTTCTTTAAACTTTCCTTATTTTCCCATACGATCACAACCTCTCTTGCAATCCAATAAAAAGAGAATGAGGTAGGAAATGATCTACATTATAATCTGTTCATATYAAATTTTGCAGATGTTGTGAAATAGCTAGTTTTATAAACAAGATTATAGGTCATAGTAGTTTACTGTACCAGTGGTTATTTCATCAGWTTCGTTATATGAAGCACATTTAAAGAATGTGCAAAGCAAACACACAAATTCAAAGACATCAGTAGTAAGAGGCTGGCCAAAGTCTCCCTTTAATCAGCCTGAATTCATGCCAAAATTGTATTTCATGGAAGTGAGAAAAGATTTGGAGAATGCCTAGATTAAAATATACAGTGAAATGATACAGTCAAATTTACCTGATTTCCATTTGCTGAGATTGGATTTATTCTACAGAAAGAAGATAAATTACAAATTACTTAAAATTATCATTAAGATGTTTTTATCTACTAAAATTATTTTACACAATTTAAATTAATCTGTTTTTATTATATATATATATATACACACATATATATAGTTTATAGAACATGTTGTAATATAATATGCTTATCATGTTGGTTTTGGCTGTTCCATTGCATAAATACCTCAACAGATAAAAGAAGACATCAATATTTGCTAAAGGTTGTTGTTTAAAACCTACTTTATGCATCTCATATGTGTTTTTTTTAAATGTAACCTTTCTGTATTGTAAAAATATATATTACTTAAAGAACTATGATCTTCTGTTAACTTTCACCTTATTTGTAATTATCAGATTGAAATAAAATCAGATGCAAGAAAGGATACCTGCTGTACCAAGCTCACTAAGGAGACTGTTGCACCCTATGGCAGGGGAATGTCCCCTCTGACCAACACTGAYGAGGGACACTGATGAGGTCCCTCTTTGTAGCTGCAAGACCAGGGGCAAAGAGCTGCTTGTATCAGCATGAGGGCCTGAGGCTGTTGCACTGTTGCTGCAGCTGGAACAGGCAGATTCCAAAGGCTGTGGCTTGAGAGGCAGGGCAACTGCTGTGTCTTGTATGACAGAAAAACCCTGGTATTAGGACTGCACAAAATCAAACCACATTAAACCTCCCAGGCAGAAACTTAGTTCCACCAAAATCAATGATAGAGAAATCCATTGCCTTCAAAAAGAGGCTGAAAATACACCCAACAGTTTAAGAGGAAAAAGAAACTGTAGGTAAGGATTGAAATTTATATGGTAGAAATAGTTCTAACTGCAGCTCAAGTAAAATGCTAGAAATTGTCTAATTTGCTGAAAGAAATTCTATGGCTTCAAAATAAATTTTCAATTTTCATGCAAGATGCACATAATTCTAGTTTATATATCTGACCCATATATATCTATATATAACACCTAACATTAGATAAAATTAATTACTACTATAATGACAGGTTTTTCTTCTCTTCAGACAGACCATTAATAATATTACCCCAATAGAAAATATTATGATTAAATTAAAAATTATGATTAAATTAAATTTCGAAAAATGTTTGCAAAGAAAAAGCATTACCTGTTTGGTGGAGAAGCTATTGTCACATACCACATGAAACAATTAGAATGGTCAGAAGCAGGGAAATACCGTTCTTTATCCTCAAATGTCTAGAAGATAGAAACATGTTTAATTACATACAGTTACATATATATATATATAAATATAAATATAATTTCCTGATGCCATTGATCTATGCCAYGTTTTCTATATATGCATTTATATAATGCTTTATTACTTACAGAAAATAGAGACTTTGATTTATGACTAGTCTAACTGAATACAGTGAGAGTATTAACAAACATACACAGATGTTTGGACACAGAAGCTCTGGAAAGTCTTGGTTAATCGTTGTGTATGTAGGTTAGGAAGCATTAAATGTTAAGATTCATCACAGCATTTACTACTTCTTGTTCAACCAGTAGTTCAAAATATAAGCAACAGAATCTGTTCTGAAATGGCTTAAGAGATATTGGAAATGAGAATAAGGAAAGGGGAAGAGAGTTTGTACACAAGGATAAGATGTAGGAACAATTAGATGAAAAGGATGAGGTGAAACACATGAGAGGGAACAGAGATTTGTATTAGGGGAAGGTCATAAGGAGAGGAGGAGTTAAAGGACACAAATTATTAGTCAAAAACCAGCTATGGCATTCATGAAATAATTTGCAGGAATTCCACCTCAGAAAACACAGAAGTAAAAGAGATTTCTTACTTTTTTTCTTTAATGGCTGTATATAAGGTAAGTTCTGACTACTATGCACTATATATATGCAGCCTATGTTTCTGTGCCACCTTAAATAGAGGTATACAAGGGGACACATTCCCTTCTTTATAGCAGCCTTATCTGATGAATAGGGGATTCAATAGCATATTGCAAACTTCCTTAATCCTTTAAAAAKATACCATGTTTCCTTCTGGGCATTTATTCAACAAAGTGATTTTGTCAAGTTTTGTCAACATATTTGCTTCTCTCCAGGATTCTACATGAGCACATTCAGTTTCAATCTTTACACTCTTTACAAAACATTGGAAAAAATAGTAACTAGTCATATCCTAGATTTTTGTGGTAAACCTAGTGGTAATCTGTAACACTATCCACGTAACATTACAATATAAGAGACAGGAAACACTGGTATTATTACCAGTGCATTTAAGAATCAGGAGTCCTGCTGAATTTAGTAGGAAAATGAAAGCATCAGCACTATAGTTTCTGACCTTCCATTTAATTTGAGAAGAATCATTCAACATAGTCACATTTTTCCTACTTTCATCATGTTACAGAGTTTGTTACTAGAATACTCAATGGTACTAGAATACGCAAATAGTAAAAACTATTATTAAAAAAAGGTCATTTTTTGCAGCTAAATGGGAAACAGCTTCATTTTAACATCARAGAAGAAGCAGGAAGCTCCTGTCTGCAGAGTGACTGGATGGTAAAGGAACAGGTGTAAAATACATAACATTTCAATGGAAAAGGGAGGCTGTCAGGAATCTCAGAGTTCATTGATTCAGCCTGCAATGAAACAAATCATTATTACACTCATCCAACTCCATTCTTATCTGAAAGTTTTTCTTCACAACCTTTACAGGTAGAGATGTAGGCTATTTTATAATTAGCATATTTAAATCTGGAGCTCCATTATGCAACAGGCTATGGATACTGTGACAGATACCTGCTTAATAATCAATGATCAGACCGCAATTAATTTGCTCACAATTTATTTTCATAGCTTACCTCAGTTGTTACTTTTGGTTTAATTCTGTAAGTCCCAGGAGTTGGACAATTCAGTGTTGTCCTTGGTGAACTAAAGTTGTTTTAAAAATAAACATTATATGTGACACAAAATTTTAAGACCAGTTAATATTAGATACAGGAATCTCAGAGATCTACTTGGACTAAATTTTTAAAACTTAAGAACTTGGCACCCTCTTGAAGGCTTTGTGCAAGAAAAGACCCCAYGCTTCTATTAAACATAAACATAAAGAGAGAACACAATCTATCAGTTCAGTACTAGGCTGATGGACAATCTACATTGCTAAACTGAAAGATTATCTTTTAAGAGCATTACTTATATGCACACTGGACCAATTAAAAGAGTAAAAAAAAAAAAAAAAAGAGAGAGAGAAACTTGAGACAAGAAAGATATAAAACATTCATTAAGCTTTTGGCTTGTTTCTGCTTGCACATATGTGAGACAACCCAGCTATTGCAGAGCATCAGAGGGACATTTCAGGGAAAGTGAGAACTAAGAGACTCCTCTCTCCCAACAGCTGTATAAACAAGCCCCCTAATGAGAGCCAACTGGCAGGGAGGCTTCCCAGCCTCCAAGCTTTTAAAGTGTGTGATCACTCTAGACCGCCTGCTTATCCTGGTTGCCTCTCTTCAAATTCACACTTCATCCTGATCACTGGAATATTTTTCTTCCATTCGGTCCCAAATCATCAGATAAAAGAAAGGAAGAACTGATAAAGACTCGGGTCTTACAGCTTATAGTTAAACAGATATAACAAACACATAAATCTTTATTCTAACCTATACCAATTCCAGGAACTATGTTCTGACAAAACAAATAGGAAAACAAGAAGTGCAGTTTTCATCCTTTCTCAGTGAAATACTGTACAATATTTGTCTTCTTATTTTAATGAACAGAAACAACAAAAAGGAACCATAAATTCAAYGTTTTGGGAGGGCTTCCCCTAYGTATCTCTTCATTTGCCCTGYCYAAAGAGATAAAAACCTGCAAAAACRTTAGTCATCCATAATATTTATCACTCACACATCCTATTAAACTTTCAGTTGCAGATGCTGTCAAAGGCACTCTTTGTACACACTTCACACGTTGGAAGCCTCAGAAACAGGAATTTGTTTACACATGCCTTTGACAGCAAGCTGCTGTCTACACTACAAGAAGCAATGAAATTTAGGAGAAATACTGTAATTAAAGTAAATCTGTGACAAATAAAAAAAGTTAAATAGGAATTTTAGGATAAATAAATTTAAAATTTAAAATAACACATACTGAAAGCTTGTCAGGAAACTCATAAATTTGTTTGTCATTCTTTTAGGGGAGAATGAAATAGGCAAATTTGAAGAATTCACTTCATGTTACACCCATCACATCATATAGAATGGTTGAGGTTGGAATAGAGCTTTGGAGATCATCTAGTCCAACTCCACTGCTCAAGAACAGAGACAGGGCACACGGTGGCATCCAGGTGAGTTTGGAAGACCTCCAAAGAAGGAAACWYCACAGCCTCTCTGGGCACCCYATTGCAGTGCTCTGTCACCATCTCTTTACTCTTTCCTTTAGTAGCATTATATATCTGAATTGTCTTGGCAAATCGTAATTTAAAAATCTGATTTCAAACTGCTCTCCAACTTTTCAAAGAACAAAAAACAATACTTTTTTTCCCCCGTATATCTCAAGTCCTGACAGTTGCTATCTTATTTGCACAGTATTGTGTATTAATTACACACTCACTGAATTCAGAATCTTACTTTTGATGTTTTTCATTTGGAAAACTCTTACCTTTTATTTTTAGCGGTACATACATCAGGATATTCCCACACAATAAATGAAGTTCCTTCATATTCTAAAAATACCTAACCAAAGAGTTGAGAACACATGCTAGTATGTAGCTATGTATTAATTGTGACAATATGTACAAGCATTATTTTAAAATTCTTAATCTTTATTATTATTATTATTATTATTATTTTAAAAATATGAATGTCTTCAAATGTAACAGAAATAGTTAAGAAAAAGTTTAACTGAAATAACTAACTCAAAAACAGTAATAACTGCAGCAAGCAGATCAACTACATTAAACAGAATATTCAAATATGTACCTTGTGAATGCAAACTAATACCTACCTTGCAAACTAATATACAACTTTCTGGAAACTCATCAGGAACTACATTTCAAACTACTATACTGACAAAAGCCAAGATAAGTGTGTACTAAAAAACACAGCACCCTAGAAATACTGTCTTCCCAAAGGAACTTAACACACAAATAAAGTGTAATGGGTAGATGGCAACTGGGTAGATGGCAACTGCGTAGATGGCAACATCACCTCAAGACAATCAGCTGCCCTTGCTACTGAGCACTGATGCACTGTAAATACATTTTAGAGGAAGGACCACCTTTTTTGCACCATCACACTCAAAGATATAAAATGCATTGCATTCTGTAATGCACTTTTCCTCAGACTTACCACAGATTTTTTTTAAAGTGTCTTCTTGCATATTGTRTTTTTGTTTATAACTGAAGGACCACTTTGTCTTTTGTGCTCTCTGAAAGACAGACTAGACCTAACATAACGTCTCTGTACTCTGAAGGTTCAGGAGCTCTGAAAAGTTCTCCATGCTTCCCTATAAGAGCCCCCTTCCTCTCAGGGTAACATGCAGGCGGAGTATGAATTTTTAAACATGCCAACTGCATCCGGCACTGGTTTTGGACAATGGAGCACTGTCAAACACCCAAAGTTTCATATGAACCACTAACCATCTTAGCATCAAGTTTAAAGCAGGAAAATGATTAAAAATGCTGTGAATAGCCAAGAAGTAAAATTTGTTTACTTCTTTGTCATATTATTTTCATAAAAATACTCAAGAATTTCAACATTTTCTTTTCTTGTTTATTGTAGATCTGTAGGGTACTTCAGATTAGCTAAGAATAATTTCACAGACCACATTTCTGCAACCACTTTTTTAGAGTAGATAAGACTTCCATAGTGTAAACTATATGCATATCGCATTTTTATAGACAGAATCAATATTAGTAGAGAAATTGTCCCTTGAACTATTTGTCCTCATATTTTAATTGTCAAGAGCTGTTTTTTTCTTCAAATAGTACTTCTCCTGAAGGAAATTCAAGTTTCTCACAATAGCAAAACAGTCCCAGAGAAGTATTAAATGTTGTCCTTCACCTTCAATAAGAAATATTCTAGTACAGAGGAGTAAATAACACTGCATGGCCAACCAGCCATGCTCAGCATTAGTTAGTAGACGAGTTGACATTGTCGCCTTTATTACAACAATTTGGCTTCTTTCATGCTCACCCTTCATTTTCTGAACTACTAAAATTCTTACAAAAAGAAAAACCTGCTCCAAACAATGTAGACCAATTTATGTGTCTCATTTAAAATATATATATATATATAATCATAATATGTGGAGTCTTTCAGCAGAATAATTGGAAACATGCAGATGTAACAATTTTACATATCTCCCCAGCTCACTTGATTGAAATGAAAAAATTATGTCACACTCCTTCTGTTATCTGTTAAAAGCTCCTGTCTGAGTCTCTTGCAATTTATTGGGAGGCAGAAAAGCCTGAATGTACCCAAATTCAAGTCAGATATGTGATAAATATAATTGCTTCTGTTATTCACCTCCTATCAGTAACAGTGAGCAATTTAGAAGACAATGCAGTCTAGACTTTATCATTTTACACTGCTGTAAGGGCTTAGCTTTACAAAGCCAATCCCATCTGGCAGCTTGCTAATGCCAAAGATGGCAGGCACATCTGTTCATTCCTTGGACATGGACTCTTGTCCGTTCCTGATAGCTCAGAGGGCAGACTCAATGTGCACATCCAGCAAAAACATGAATAGCTTTCCTACAAGTTGGAGGAAAGAAAAGCACTGCTGTAATACTGCATGAACTTGTTGGTTCTCTAGTTTATATATATATATATATATATATACACACACACACACACATATATACATATGTAAAGTACAACTGGGCATTTCTGCACAGTCTTATTCTAAAAGAATATTCTTCTATAATAGTCTTTATATATTTTTTTTAGAATAAGACTGTCTTATCCAAACGAAAAATGACTACAACAACAAAAGCARCCAGTTTTTGACACTAAGCACGAGATGCCACACTGAGCATTAGGTAGGTACCAATTGCTTTTTTACCTTGGTCAAGAGCTAGCTACATTTTTATAATTATACTGTATATATAGTCAGGGAGCCATATTGATAAAGATCACTTTGTATCTTTTAAAGTACGACAATGAAAGCTTTCATATAATTAATTTATAAGGAAAAGAGAAAGGGAAAGGGAAAGGGAAAGGGAAAGGGAAAGGGAAAGGGAAAGGGAAAGGGAAAGGGAAAGGGAAAAAAAAAAAAAGACCCAGAACACCATATATGAAAAAAAAGAAAAAAAAATCCAAACCTAGCAGCATCAACTAGTATTAACTTGCATGATCTCAATTAAACACTTACAGTTGTTCTGGAAGTGAAGAGTTTGTAGTTTTCTTCAGTAGTTGTGTACCTACCAAGAAAACAAAGCAAAACATAAATTCCAGAACTCTTCTATTCCAAATCTAAAAAGCAGAACAACAAAACTGCATATCTGAAACCTCTTTGAAAAGCAGCATTTAACTAATATTACATTGCTAGAATATAGCCCTGACAGGCTAYAGTAATCTCACTCTTATTTTGAGATGCAAGAGACTAGTTGTGTGAAACCTTAAGATCAAATAAGCTAACTTCAAATAATTTTCACTTATTCTGAATGCAAAATATACCCATATATTATGTATGTTAACATATATATTATAATATACACATCTATACATATTATAAACATATACACAATATACTTATAYATATTATAATAGATAATATAATATAATAGATATATTATAATATATCTGTACACAGAGAAGTGAAAACATTCTTTAATTTAACTAGCTGTGAATAAGCCAAGCTATGCAGCTAAACCTTAAGTGAATTGTAGACTGTTCAGGATGCAACAGCTCATGACAGGAGGCAAAGAAAGTAACAGTCAAATGAAACTGCGTTACAAAGGATGCTGTCACAACCACTTTTAAGCTAAAGAACAGTCCCTGCACAGGATGAACAAAATCACAAGTAGAAAACAAAGATCCTGCTCTTGCCTTCCAAATTCGACCTCTTACTGCATTGAGCTGCATTCTCACACAAATGTTTAGCTACTTAGCTGAACCATCTGGTCACTAAACTCACTAAAATAGCAAAAAAAAAAAAA